TATCCTATGTGTTCTTGCTCAAGAAAATCCCTAGTCAGGGTCATTCTGATTGAGAGAGAAAGAGTTCTCTAGGAGAATCTGATTAGAGCGTGACTCGAGTAGAAACCGTATGAGCCTGACAACACCATGCTCGGAATACGGTCTCTAGGATATTAGATAAATAAGGGACAATAGATAAATGATAACTGAGGATAGACAAGTCCAATGGATTAAATTCTTTTATATTGCTTGGGGACTACGATGTCGTGGCCTAGTACGTCCGTAGTTGATGAGTCGAGTAAATTATTATGGAGATAATAATCTATTAAGCCAAAAGGAGTTTCGATAAGCACGACCTATGATCAGCTTGATATTGGCTTAGAAAGTCATACATGTATGGTAAGTGTTACGACGAGTAGAGGTTTAGATATGAGATATCCGTTGGAGCCCATATCTTATTGGATATCCAATAACCCTGTAAATTATTGAATCTTGTGGATAAGATCCAATAAGAGCCAATGAGATATTATTGGATAGAAATCCACTATTCTAAGAGGCTTGGGTAGCTGGATAGAGATTCAATACCTAAAGGGCAAGATTCATTAGGGTTAAGCTGATATAGACTTCTATAAATAAGAGAGAACTAAATTGGTATAAGTTAGATCCTTTTTGGCTACTATCTCCTATACTCCTCTCTCCCTCTCTTCCTTAGCGAACAACCCCAATTTAGGGCATGTGGATAGCAAGAAGGGTCGGTCCCTTCTTGATCGTGTGGTGTACATGGAAATAAAGGATTGTGTAGTGATTTGAGGAGCATCTTCGTAGCGCTTACCATGTGGATCACTACTAAAGAGGAGGACAGTTGATATCTTTCACCCTCTCCTATAGATTTACAGATTCTTAGGGATATATGATCTCCCTAGGTAACACATCTTTCATATACGTATAATTTTTTCGATTTTGCATTTTTTAACGCATTATTCTTCACATGACGATGAGAAACTATTTTTTGTGAGAAATCTAGGATTTTTATTTTCTATTCTTTTGTTGTACATATGATATTGCCCTAGGTTTCCCAACACCATGGTGTTGCTATACTCATAGCCCTACTATTTGTTGCTTCACATTTGTATCCCTTTTTGCACGATCGATACATCTACCTTTGTAGCACTATAGCACTCCTCTGAGTCCACCTCTATTCTAATCGACACTTAGTTTTGGGTAGCTAAGTCTCTCTAGGCTCATTATTACTTACTCGTCCCTTTCGACCACCTAATTTAACACCTCTTTATCATCTAAGTAGTACCCCTTAGTTGATGAAAAGATAAACTGTAACTCCCATGTATGATCTTCGCTATCATTTTGCAAGGCTCATGTTGATTTTAATTTCTTTTACTTCATTGGTAGTAACGTTCGCTTACTTGGCTTTGTTCTCTGACTTGATTGACTCTCTTAAGCAAATATGAGCTTTAGAGAAGTCTAACTCTCTAGTTACTCTGACCATATCTCTATATGATTAAGTCTTCCCCTCCCCCCATGGGATCACTAGTACTTACATATAAAATTTTTCCTTAGTGATATACAACCCTTATATGCTGATGACTAAGGCTTTCATCCGATGTAAGATTCAATATACATATAGAAGATCCACCTCTGTAGTACCATGATATTCACTCTCCATAGCCCTTCTTATCATCATATTATTCACCAAAGTAGAGCTCTTAGTAGCTCCCGATTATATCTCTATATGATCAAGTCTCTCATGGGGACTTTTCCTATGTGTGTCGCATTATTCTGAATTATTCTACCATGATCTACTACACCATGTCACCTCCTAGTGACATCTTCATTGCATATTGATCTTCGTGGGATGAATCTAGATTATGATTTCTTTATATGTAGCCTTTGCTAGTACATCATAGAGCTTATGCCACCTCTGATTATATTCGTTCATTTGGTAACCAACCTTCATCCACCCACTCTCAAGTCATGCATAGATGAAGCTCTCGAAGTCTATTAACTTTATTGAAATTGATGCGTCATTATTTAGATCTTGGGACTCTACCCTCCTAGTATAATCTTTACTATCCACTGCTTTCTTTATGACAACTTGAATGGTAGTACAATGACATATTCTTTAAGAGTATTTACATTCGTATCCTCTTATCTTGTACTAAGGTATTTTGACCCTAATTTTTCTTTCACAAGTTGAGTTACCTTAGTTCATTTATCAAATATTTCACTGAGAGAAGGTGCATATGTCTCAAAACTCCCTTTGTCTTTGGCACAATATATGATCAGACTAGTTCATCAGAATTAGGGACCCATGGAACGATATGATCCTGCTTACCTCTACAAAAGTTTATGTCCTTAACCTCTGTCCAAGGAAAGTTTTGTATCTCTACTCCATGTTCTGTTTGTATGTTAACTCCATTTATACAGCTTGGACACTTCATTAAGTTCCACCTAAGTTGCTCTGCCCCTCGATTTATATTAAGTTGATGGTAACCCTCATGCCTACTAATTCGATAGGTCAAACCTCTATTGAGTATGATCTCTACATCGACTCTAAGTATGCCATCATATGGTGTTGCCTTGGGTCGCTTCCTTGATCTCGTATTGCATTACATCATATGAGATTATGTGATGATTCATTGTCGTTTGCTCGATCCGTTGAGCTTTATGATGTTATTGTCTTTAGGTACCCCTCAACATATACAGTTCATTGCACATGATTCTCTCTTTCGAGAATCAAGACTTATCCTTTTTGGATATTTGTCCCATTAGAACAACTTTTCTCTTCGTATTCTTTTCTCTGAAAGTTTCAAAGAGTATTATCCCCTTGTACTACTTTGGCTTGCTAAATGAATTATGCACTAGTTCGCCCTCGTGAATGCACTTACTAGATTGTGACTCTTCACTAATATAGCTCTCGTTACACCACTCAAGACCTAGTAATATGTTAACTTACTGCACATTTTAGCCTCCATATCATTTTCATGTTAAAGAGAAAGTTTCAATACTCTATGGCATCGAGTTTTAGTCACCTTAGGATGGCCATAGATAGTCCATCATTCACCTACAAGCTCTTGCATAAGTATCAAATTCTTCAAGTTAGCAATTCCCCTCACCTTTGTGAGCTTTGCAAAGCTCTTTCAATCATTACGTAATCCATCCCACCTTTCAGGTATCATCCTTTGTTAAGTGCCCCACTTGTCTTGAGAACTATAAAGTTTGATTGCCAACATTGAGCAGTAGCTCGAACTTAGTTATCCCAACTTTTGTGTGCTATACGTTCTTCTTAGCTCACTTGTCCTTGTGATACCAAAGGGTTGGCCATTCTTCAAAATGTCAATCTAAGATGCTTGCTCATTTGAGTGACTCCTTTTTCTACATCTCAACGCTCGTTTTCCCCAAACAATCGCACGTGCTGATTGCCCTTAATGCAGCTCCGCTAGGTCCATCACGTTTGTATGCCAAGTGTTTTTAAATGTGCTTGTCTCATTTGATACCATCTGTCATAGACTTAGTTAGTTTTTCCTAAGTCATATGACACCCTTGCATGTCCATCTACACCCTTGCGGAACAAGATAATAAATCAGCCCTATATATTACCCAAAGGCTCATCCAATCATGTGCCACTTGGGTAGTTTTTGGTTACTGTACTGGCTAATACTCTGTACCACTCTATGAAGTTAGAAAACCCCCAAAATGACTGTTTGGATAGTTTACTTTCAGATAGTTTTATCTCTGCACGACAATTACACATAACTTATATTTACAAACTTGAAATGATTATAAAAGCCAACCACACTAAGTTTGTAAGGCTACTAGAAACCTTTTACATGTTATACAAAGCATGAACAAAACCAAAAGATACGAACATACATGAGTATTATATCAAATACCTCGTTTATAGCTTTGTCTATAGTAGTACAGTATGAGAGTGCACGTATATCTTATAATGTATAGTGTAAGAGTGCATGTATATATTATGATGTATAGTGTGAGAATTCACATATATATTATAACGTTTAGTGTGGGTGTATACATGTATATTATGATGTATGGTATAAGAGCACACGTATATATTACAATAATATGTGGTATGTAAGTGCACAGATATATTATAATATGGGTGTAGAAATCCATGAATTTATTATATTTTTTACATGTGTATATAAATATTTTAAATTATTTAAATATTAAAATTTATTTTTTATTTTACATATACTATGTCGTAGGATTATGCTTGCTAAAGAAGTCATAGAACGAGATGTTTATTATTAATTATCTTATGATGATAATTTTAAAATATGATATACATGACATGATGCATATTCACTCGAATAAAATTATAAAGATTTATACTTATTGAGTAAATAAAATTATAAAGATTTATACTTGAGTGATTATTCACTATAGATACTATTTTATAAGTAAGAATATTAGTACTTAACCTAAGTGATTGGATAGAGAAATAAGCCTTATAAATATAGATAATGACATATGGTATAAATTTTAGATATATTATGTTTGAGTTTTTTTTTCTTTTATCCAATGTAATCGTTAATGGATAATTTATTATTATTATTATTTTTAAAAAAATTAATATATCTTAATTTTAAGATTATCTAGTCCTTTGTTTTTTCATGAATTATTTGACTCATCATTTCATACGACATAGACAGACAAAAATTATTATCTTCTAAATGTCAGGTTGTTTTGGTTTTGCAGCCTAGAACTTAATAAAAAAAATTAAGTAGGACTAAGATGCATAATAGTTCTACTATATAAATATTAAGGAGGTTTATAGGGTCTATTACATGGTCAATGGCAGATTATAAATAAATATTAAGGAACTTAATGCATGGCCAATCGCCATCTAAATTTGATCCGGTTTTAGTTTCACAGACCAGAACTTAATATAAATATTAAGGAGGTCTAAGATGTATAACGGTGCGTTCTACAGACTCTATTATAGACAGTATATTTATAGGGCCTTATTTATAAAGAAGAGCACCAGAAAAATAAAAATAAGGATCTAAGAGACGAGGGTTTTACGCTCCAAGACCTCTCGCGAAGGTACTCGGTGCCGAAACCCTAATACCCGGTTGTCGCCGTCCACCGTCTCACTCCCCAGGAAGAGGAGGAAGGCCCGTCTCTCATCGTAGCCATGCACGCCCCAGTCCTCGTTCTCAGTAAGTCCCTCTCTCTCTCTCTCCCCTAGGAGGTCGTTCGTACGAATCTTGGGTGACGGGTGATCTCCATCTCGGTTGTGAGATTTGGTCCTTTGGATCACCGTAATATGTAAGATCGGTTGGGGTCGTTTCTTGCTTTCTGTTTGTTTTCAAGGCGAAAGTTCGGTTCTTGATCGAGGTTTCGTTACCTGTTCTTTCTGGGACGAAGTTTTTGAGGGTTCTGATGAACCCTAGTTCAAGATCGATGATTTGGAAGCCGCGGATCTTCTGCTTGGTTGTATGCCCTCTTTTACGGGGGATCTTGCACTTAATGTTACTAAAGATAACGACTGCTCCTAATTCTTCTTGGTTGTGTGATTTGGTCCTTTGGCGTCTCACATTATGTAGGATCGGCTGGGTCATTTTTACCTTTTATTTGTCTTTTTTATTTAGTTTTGAAAATAAAAGTTGTGTTCTTGATCATGGTCAGATTTCCTTTCTGGTTGTAGATTCTCATTTACCAAGTCACATTTAGGGTCTTAGCAAACCATTGATCAAGATTCATGATTTGGCAATTGCTGATCTTTTGATTGACTGCATGACTTCTTTTGCTAGGAATCTTTGTGGTTAAAATAATATGAAAGGAAGAGAAGAACCAGGATGGTTTTGTCATTCTTGTGAAATGGCAAAACTATTATTTTGAATGTACTGTGTATTGAATCGAGTAGTCCTATGATTTTATCATTAGGATCATCTAACAATTTGTGCTAATTCTTTTGAGCAGAAGATTCTTTAAAACGGGAATCTGGAAGCAAGGTTCATCATGCTAACATCCAAGCCTCCAAGGTGAGTATGTGTTAATGCTTTAAGTATTTGTGCGAGACAGGCTGTTGCATGTCCCAAATTTGTCTTGGAATTGTCTAGAACCTGCCACATTTGACTTGGCATTGTTGAGGGAGGAATCTTTTTATTGGTTTTCATTGGGCAATACTAGGAGAAGTGTGAAAAGTGTTGTTGTTGAAACAGTGTTGGGTAATTAATTTGGGCATGAATCTCACAGTGATTTATTAGTATGACTTTGCTTGAACAAATTGGATCAACTGGGCACCTGAGCACTTCTGGATGCTACCATATTCTGATAAGGTTCCTGACATCAAGATTGATTTATCTTTATCAGATTCCTTTATAGCTTTGTTAGTAAATAAACCCTTTCCCAAAAGCTAACTTTGATGCTTACTTTAGTTATAGAGTGAGTAATTTTTGAAAGAAAAGTTCATATCTACCTTTATAGCATGACCTGTCTTATGTATCTTGTGAACTGAGTACTCAATCTTTACAGAAACATGTCTGTGCTGTTCATAGTAGTTAAAAAATGGTTGGGAGAGGAATTTCCTTGTTCAAATTTTATACAGCAGAATCTATAGGTCTTTGTTCCAACATTATATTGTTGTTATACCTGTTTTGTTGATTCTCAATATGTAACGTAAAAGATGCTGCATAAAGAGTTTAAAACCATTCTCCCCATAGCGTGTAATAGATTCCTCCATATTCTGTGACATAAGTTCCTTGTGTGGCAAATTTGCTTTTAAAAGTTCAATTTTGTGAACCATATGGTAATATATTGGTCATTTAAAAGTTATGTATTTAATGGCTTTAGAATTCCCTAGCGTATAACATTGTTAGGAGTTGGGACTATTTGTAACTAAGAATCAATGGAGTACTAGAAATAAAGGGAATTTTATAATTAAATTCTGGTTAAGACAAGGACAAATGCGTTTTCTCATGGCAACATTTGTTGTTGCAGTTGAAAAAAAGTTCTATAATAATCTACTACTTTTTTTGCGTCATGTCCTCTTAAACCTTGTCAGTGCTATGATCATAGTCTATTAGTTAGAGACTCAAAATGTGTCATACCTTAATTTTTAGATGCAGTGTGGGATATGCGGTTATAATAAATATAATGAGTTCTATTTGCAACAGTAATTGGTCATTAGATACTTTTTGTGAATAAAAATGTGTACTGGTTCAGGAAGGATAAGAGTTTAAACCAAATCCTTTTAAAAATATAAGATATTTCAAAAAATTAGTTGGCATGTAGATGTAGTTTGTGAATATAACCAAGAAATTGTGCAACCAAGAATAAATAATGCTGATTCGAGTTTGGTGCAATTTGATCAATTGAGACTTGAGATTATCATGTGGTAAGAGTTTAAACCAAATGTTTCACAGCCTTGTTTGTTATTTTAAAAATATAGGGTATTATATCTTCGAAAAATTAATTGTCATGTAGATATATTTTGTGAATGTGAACAACAAATGTGCACAACCAAGATTGGATAAATTGATTCGAGCTTGGTGCAATTTTGATCTAGTGAGACTTAATATTATTGTATAATGAATCAAAATATGATTCAGGTCATTCATGTTGATGGTTGTTTTATTACCAAGAATTGAAGATGTTGATCAACTCTTGTTTGTCCACTAGCTGATGACTATATAAGAAAGGAGTTTGTATCATAACCATAGACCTGGTGATGTAGATTAGAGTAGGGAGAAAGCAAGAGAGCAAGATAGCAAGAGAGGAGAGTAAGCGACTAAAAGAGTAGAGAAGATTTTTCATTCAAATCTATAGTGATTCATTCATTGATAAGTTCTACTATTTATAGGGGTTTAAGAGCCTTGGTATAATTAATGAAGGCAATAATTCTCAAAAATAATTTCATAGGGAACTTGTATGCCTTTTAGAATCCCAAAATGTGGCTTGTAGGATAATTAAATAGTAAAGAGGTGCACTTAAATACAAGAGTGCACTAAATACAAAAGTAGAGTCTTTAGGTTAACACCTAGAAAGACACAAAAGACTTTACAATTTTCCACACAACTCCTAGAGTTTCTAGGCCAAATAATTGATGAGTTTTTGTTTATTTTTTATCTAGAATAAACTCTTCAAAAATTCTTTATAAGTCTAGATGGTTCTCCATCATTCTTTCCTGGTGGAAAATAACTCGACCTTAGGCCCTGGAGAATGATTTGAAAGGTACAAGTCCAATAAGTCTGGTGTAGTGTCATGAAGTTCCTCTAAAGTAATCCAGGTGGTATTGGAAGTTGGATGACCACACCACTTGTTAAAAAAGTGTTGAGTGATGTTAGTAGCAGACGTAACAAGGCGATCATCAAGAATTACCTCTACATCATCCATGTTGTAGGAGAGTTGGTGCTTTGGGAGGATTGTCACATGTAGGAATACCGGTAGATAGAGAAAGAGGCTCAAAAGTACCATGATATGAAGTTAAATCCTCCACATTGAAAATTGGACTAATATTTAAGTCAGAAGGCAAATCAAGCATATATGCATTAGATCATAGTTTTTGGAGAATGGGGAAAGGACTAATGGCTCAAGCATGCAACTCTTGAATGAGTTTTTGGGGAATCTCTCAGGGAAAATGCGAGCCAAGATATAATCATCAACTTGAAACTCTTGACTCCTATGATGTGCATTAGAAGCAAGTTTGTAATTTTCATTATTTAAGGTAATTTTATCTCGAATCTCAGTATGCAAATCATGGATCTGTTGAGCGAAAGAGTGGGCTGGTTCCGAGGCATGATAGTCAAATGGAAGGGTGGTAAGGTCAATGGTTGTGCGAGGGGTATAACTGAGGACAATGTCAAATGGGATTTTTCCAATGGAGCGGTTAACAATGACATACTGTGTGGTTGTTTGATGAACTTAATAAGAATATCTGGAAATTCCATCATTTTCACCTCTTTCTGTACATTTGAACTTGCATGAATGTGGTTGGCAATTATTGCCCTTAATGGATTCCAGTAATAATTGGAATAGTTGGGAATAAAGTAGTTGATACCTCATTGTTGTTGAAATTGGCTTTACTTTCTTTTCCTTCCAAATTTGGACTTCTTGTGTTTTTCATTATATTTTGTACGCAGGCTGTGGCTGACATAATTCGAACTACTTTGGGTCCTCGATCTATGCTTAAGATGCTGCTTGATGCTGCTGGAGGTCTGTTTTCAGACTTTTTTTTTTATTTGGCATTGTTAACATCTTAAGCTATTCTTTTGTTGATCTCTGCATCTCTTGTTGTGATAATGACACTGTAAACTTCTTAAGTTATTTTTTGATTGATCTTTATATTTATTATTGTGATGATGACCTTTTAATCTTCAATTATGCTTTAGACTTTTGGTCTTATAAAATCATTGATCCTTTCTTGCGTTCTATTGTGTACATCTACCCTCGAAGAAGAGATATTTTGCTTATGTACAGGGCCTCTTAGAATCTATAGTAAGGAGGGTAAATTTGTTAACCCATAAAATAATGTCTAAAGTTGAGAATGATTGTGAATGTATTAAAAAAAGGTGCAGTATTGTGTAGTAAATAGTGAACTTGTTGACCTAGAATTGCAGAAATTGAAGGATTTAGACAGTTTATGTGACGATGTTTCTAAACGAATTTGAAATTCTGACATCATCACTATTATTTAATTCAAGCAATGTTCTCTGGGCTTTCAAAGTATAAAAGTATCATAAAGGCTATGGAACATGCTTCTTAAGCTGTGCGGTGCTGAATCATATCCTAATGTAAATGCATTCCTTTTATCTGACTAATGGAGCTCAAATTTCTTTTAAACTTTATACAATTGCTTTTACTTGATCTCTTGAAATAAAAAATAACTTGTATTATCATTTTGGAATCATCTTCCACCAAGTCGAATCCTATGATGTCTATTTCATTTGTCTAATCGTTTTGAAAATGAATTTAGTCATTGTATTTGGCACATTTTAGCAGCTTAAGATTAGCTAAGATATTGTCAACATTCATAAGCTTGTAGAATTGTTAAAAAAATCATTAGATAAGATATCAATTAGTTAGTTGTTGTTTCAGTTGTAAAATTAAAGCCCAAATTCCATATTGATCATATCAGACCATTTCATGACCCCTCTGCTTATAGAATTAATGGGATGTATGCTGATCAAGGAAGTTTGCACTGTTATGTATCTTCGTACTGCTCAGTGTCACAGATCTGCAGCCAAACTGGATCATGGCCCAATGGCACCAACAGTAGCATATAATGTATCTATTTTAAATTCATACCCCTGCCAGTTGACTTGTATTCAAGTATGATTGATTCATTCTCATTGAATATGGCGTTCTTTCAAGGTTATTTCCATCAGAATAACTAGCTGAGAACAGACCAGATATCAAATTCTGTAATAAAACCTTAAGAACTGAGTTTTTTTGGCTGTAAATTAGCTAAAATTGGTGGCATTTTGAGATGTACACCATATTGAACTATTCTGGAGCAAATTTTGGAAAGTTTTTAGGTCACCGAGCATAACAAAAATGGTAAAGAACTTGCACAAGTTGCTCCTGTTCTGATTGCTTTGTTTGCAGAAGCTGTTGATATTTATGATTATGATCTTTCCAATTTTATTGGTTATTGTTGTGGAATCTTGACTGCTTTAGCCTTTATGGTGGTGGTTTGGGCTTGTCGAAGAGTACCAAAGCAAGATCAAAGGGGCTTGCAAGTTTGCTAAAATATCCTTTCATCTGATGTAAATATGATGTGTTTAAGGCTGAGTAACTTCTAGTAAGAAGTGGTTGTGTGCAGAATTTTGTCATTTCTAGTGGCTTAAGAAAGGTGATTACTGGGGGTGATGGAAGTGGGTAATGGTAAATAGGTGTAGATCTGTCAGTCTAAGAGAAGGGGATGATTGAATTAGGACAAATATATGACAAAAATGAAAAAGACAACAATAAAGTTAAATCTGTTGCCATTTAAATGTGATAATTTGATGGCATCTGATGCAAACATTTTTTTGTTCAACTGATACAAACAATATCAGCTTTTGGCATCTCTGACATGCCACTGATACAAACAATGATGACGAATTGTACTAGGCCATGACCTACCTATATGTTTTAGTTTTTTCTTCCTGCTCTAGTATTAATTTTCCAGGCTAATTCTGTCCTTCTTGGTGGTTCTGCTTCAAGTGGTTCATCACTTGAAGTGGTTTTCAAATTCAGCATCGTGATATACTTTTTAACATAACTCTCCTCACTATTTTCTGTTCAAACTATTGTTGCCAGGGATTGTGGTTACTAATGACGGAAATGCTATACTACGTGAGCTTGATCTTGCTCACCCAGCTGCCAAGGTTTGTCCATGCTAGTTGATTTTAGTTGTGTCAAGTTACTTGTATATGCTCTCTTATTTTGAGTTGATTGCTGTTGTTTTTAATATCATGAATTTTAGATCAGTATTGTTTTACAACATGGATTGTTTTGTTCTATTTCATTTTACTTGAGAACTCTCTCAGCAGGCTTCATAACCGTACTAAACACAATACTGTGCTTTTTTTTCCTGACTTGACAGTCAATGATTGAACTGAGCCGCACACAGGATGAGGAAGTTGGAGATGGCACAACATCTGTTATTGTACTAGGTGCATTCTGTTATTTTGTTTTTGAATCTCCTTGTGAATTTATGTGTGTATGTTGGATCTGCCTCATCATATAGCTAACTACACAATACATAGTCAAATTGAATCAAAAGCAAATGTACCTGATTGGAAACATTATCTTTGAATCATCCGCCATGTCTTTATCAATGTTAGCAAGATGTGCTTATGCTTTTTTTGTTCATTTTGGTTTCCTTGTATGTTGCCTGAGCTAGTATCTAAACACAAACTTTTTATTTTTGGAAATGATGATATTTTGCATGAAATTTCTTAAAGCTGGTGAGATGCTCCATGTTGCTGCTACTTTCATTGACAAGAACTACCATCCTACTGTGATATGTCGAGGTAATCTTGAAATAATCAGGAGGCACCTATTTCAATTTGCACCATATATGTATATACATGTGTATCTGTGCTGTTTGGTTCATCGTCTCTAAGATTGTCTAATCTTTTCTTCAGCATATAATAAAGCTCTCGAAGATTCTATTGCCGTTCTGGACAAGATTGCAATGCCTATTGATGTCACTGACCGTAAGTTCTTCAATTTTTGATTCAGTTATTCAGTGTTGCACAGCAAATTTTTTGATGGTCACGACCAATGGTTCAGTGTTACACACCCTTGTTTTTTGCTATCTTTCTTCTTAATTCTTGTGGATCTCCCTTCACTTTTGTCGTGTGAAATATCTTTTCGAAATGTGTTTGAATAATTTTCATTTGGATTCGTCTTCATAGGTGCCACGATGCTGGGCCTTGTCAAAAGTTGTATAGGCACAAAATTTACTGGACAATTTGGGGACCTAATTGCTGTGAGTATTTCCTTGTGATAACTTAGTTTTCAGTTCTAATGATATGCTTTATTTATTAGTTAAACATGAGAAGGCTATATTCCAAAGTTGATTATGATGCTTGGTGAAAGTTGTCTTATATCACCCAACAACTGAAATTCTAACTTTTTTATCTTGTCATTTTCAGGATCTTGCCATTGATGCTACAACCACAGTTGGTGTGGACCTTGGCCAAGGTCTACGTGAGGTTGATATTAAAAAATATATAAAAGTTGAGAAGGTTCCTGGAGGGCAGCTGGAAGATTCCAAGGTTCTTAAGGGAGTTATGATTAATAAGGATGTTGTTGCACCTGGAAAAATGAGGAGAAAGATATTGAACCCACGCATTATTCTCCTTGATTGCCCCCTTGAGTATAAGAAAGGAGAAAACCAAACTAATGCCGAGTTGGTCAAGGAAGAAGACTGGTACGAAGTTGATTTATATTTGACTTGCTATTTTTTACTAAACAATATATTTCATATCCTGAATGTGATGATTGATGTCAGGTCAAGACTACTCATTCTTAAGTAATAAAAAATACTTGGACCTTTTGTATTCTGAAAATTGGAATTTATGGATAACTTGTAATTCTTATAAGGTTGATGTTGAGATAAGTAATGACTATGTAGCAAAATTACTGTCTTTTATGGACAATTGCAGGTAGTCAGCATGGTTAATGTCACAACACTTATTATATTTACAGCCTAATTCAACTCTTCTTAAGGTAGTTGGTGTTATTTTTGGGCTGATCATGGGCGTGCAGTTTTATATAGTATTATCCCTAATGGAATCAACTTTTTCTTCAAAGACACAGTAGAGCTTGTGTGACAAACATGTTATTCATCAATATCAAGTATTCCATTAACATCTACTGAAGAGCCTGCATAACATGTATGTCCATCTCCAGGGAAGTTCTGCTAAAGATGGAGGAGGAGTATATACAGAATCTGTGCATGCAGATACTGAAGTTTAAACCTGACTTGGTCATTACAGAAAAGGGGCTCAGTGATCTTGCATGTCATTACCTCAGCAAGGCCGGAGTCAGTGCCATCCGGAGATTGAGAAAGACTGACAATAACAGGATTGCAAAGGCTTGTGGTGCTGTTGTCGTCAACAGGCCGGAGGAGTTACAAGAATCTGATATTGGAACCGGAGCAGGGCTATTTGAAATCAAGAAGTTTGGTGATGAGTTTTTTGCATTTATTGTTGATTGCAAAGATCCAAAAGCCTGTACTGTCCTTTTGAGAGGTGCCAGCAAGGATCTTTTGAATGAGGTTGAGAGGAACCTGCAGGTACATTTTCATGTTCTCATGTTTGTACATGTTTATTTAAATCATGGGTGTCATGCAATAACTTAAGTCTGGATCCACAGGATGCTATGTCAGTGGCCCGAAACATCTTGAAAAATCCAAAGCTTCTTCCTGGTGGTGGTGCAACCGAGTTAACAGTATCGGCTGCACTAAAACAGAAGAGTTCATCAATTGAAGGGATAGAAAAGGTGATAACTAGATTACTTACCCGTATAGTATGCTCTTATTCATTAAGTAGAATTGCAGAAGCAATGATGTTATACGCTAGGCACGTGACAACTAAATTGATCTTCTGTTTGGTTGTGTAATCAGTGGCCCTATGAAGCTGCTGCTGTAGCTTTTGAGGCGATCCCACGAACCTTGGCTCAGAATTGCGGGGTGAATGTCATTCGAACAATGACTGCCCTCCAGGGAAAGGTGAAGTATAACCTTCTTGCCACTGTGATCTTATTCGGAGTTCCTTTGTCTGGAAATTTGGACCTTGAATCTGATCTATTTCAGTCAGGTCGATCATTACTGATTAGACCCCTTTGTAAGGCTTGATATATGGCTGCCTATGGACATGTGACTTGCTGAACCATGAGATTGATTTACTTGACTAGGCTTGATGGTTATTGTGACCATACTACAAGATGACATCATTTGCCTGTTTTGTGTTGCAGCATGCTAATGCCGGAAATGAATGGGTCGGCATTGATGGAAATACTGGTGACATTGTTGATATGAAAGAGCGGAAGGTATGGGTTGGGTGCCAACCTCCCTCCATTCCCGTTCTGTCTTTCTGCTCCTAATTGGTGTTTCATTTCAGATATGGGACTCCTACAATGTAAAGGCCCAAACTTTTAAGACGGCCATCGAGGCTGCTTGCATGCTTTTGAGGATTGATGACATTGTGAGTGGGATCAAGAAGAAGCAGGCTCCTGGGGCTGGCCCAACTCCATCTAAGCCTAAGATAGAGGAGGAAGGAGATGCAGACAACGAGCAGATCCTACCGGATTAGAAAGCCCAGAGGATGTGTGGTTTTATGTCACTTGCAGGATTGTTTTGAACCCATGGGTACTTGAGTTCGTTCCCGGGTGGTTGATGATGTTTTCTGTGCCTCGAGGGGCATCCCTTCATGCTGTATTTGTTTGAGAAATTTTGTTTAAACCTGGGAAGTTGGGTGTTACCTTTTGTTATGGCTAACCCTTTATTTATGCACTGTAACAGAAGGTAAAAAATTGTTTTAGATCGAGTGGGATCTTTTTGTTTTTGTTTTCCTTCAGAATGCTGTCAACTTTGTGCATGGCTGAAACAGAAAAACCAAAGAAATAGGGATTGTGGAAATATGTTAATGACATGCATCTGTTTTCCCTGCAATTTGCATTGTAATGAGGGTAGATATTAGTGTAGCAGGCTTTGATCAGTGATGATGAAACGAGGAACGAATGCCACACATCAATTACCGTTAATACAAAGAATCAGATAAAACACGACGAATGGTATCAATATTTTTCAAAGTAAATTTGGATCCTTGGGTTATTTAATCCTCTGAATCCCTCTGGATGACCAACAAACTATGAATATGCGTTGGTAAAAACTTCAATTTTGTTTTACGATTTGTCAAAGCATCCAAAGAGTCTCCATTAATCCACTAATCTACTTCAAATTGCAAGTTGATGAGTCTCCTATGGGGAACATGTATGAGATAGATGTAAGAGATGGCTTGAATCACCAAAGGTCCACAGGAAGCCTACTTCTCGGAAGGCTATACCTACCTTGGAGATTGACACAACTGGAATAATAGACTTACCCCATCATCATGTCTGTTGAAGAATAATAAAATTACTTCATTATTTATGTAAAGTGTCACCATTTTCTCCTTGTTCTAACCCTCATTTTTTTGTGTCTCAAAAGTCTGCAAGCTCGTCTATCAGCCGTCACCTTTCGAATTTTTAGGAAACTAGGTCTAAGTTTATCCTCATATTATAAGGCTAAAAGATCTACTCAAAACTCTATTAATCAGAACAAAGATCAATAAGGCATTAATAACAAGCTTCTTTGGTGCAGACATCATAATTATTGCTATGGTAAAAAAAAAAATAAAATGATAAAAATATAGGAGTTAAAAAAAAACAAATAGAAAATATGGTTCAGATCCCTACATCTTAAATAAGCATATGTTATATTCCTTTAATCAGTATGGAAACAATACATGGAGATGACTAAGCCTAACCCAATAGATCCCATTATGAGATCTTGAGTTCAATTGTAAAAACCCTTTTATGATATAATTAAGGTACAACACTTATATTGCATAATATTATTATTTACATATGATTTGATAAGTCAAGATTTAGTTGGTCATTAGTGCGGTCCGTAGGCTGGTGATGAGTGTACCCTCATAGGTTTTCTCTTTCGGAGCACGAGCTCTATAAGGATGTTCCGACAGATTTATGAGTCATTGGTTCTCATTCTCCTCAATCGATATGAGACTAAATGTCTTTATCAGTGCTCCCTCCTGTACGGGAACCAAGGACTTAGGGCCCTCCTTCTAGTACCAATATGATAAGTCACATTTTGTCATCATTAGTTTATGGACTCATGAGGAATTATCCGTTTTGGACGATGGGTATACTCGCACGGTTTTATGAGCTTGTGAACTTTAAAAGATGCCTTTGAGGGTAAGGGTGACCCGACAGAGTAATGAGCCCTTGGTTCCCCTACTCCTCAACCAATATGAGATTAAATGTTTTTATCAATTTGCTTCTTCTTTGATTCATTATTCATCTATTGAAATATATGTGACTGAAGTGTTATGAACTTATCTTTGAATTCTATTCTCTATTAGATATTTATACTCGCTAACAATTATCCTCACAAATCAAGAATGAATTGCAAATAGGAAAATAGTAAGGTCCAGGGTTAGAATAGTCTAAAGATGGATAATGATAGAGAATACACAGTTAGTCAATTGTCATCTAATATGTAATCGCCACATGATGTCCAGAGTGGAGAGAGAAGATGGAGGATAACTTTCACCTGTTAGCCTACGTGGAGGGTCTAAGGTAAGCAATTATGAGTTGTCCTCCTTTGTCGCTCCCATAGATAAGAGGTCAAGAGGAAGCAATTGGGGATGGTTAGAGATTATCTCCTCATAGAATACCCCATAAAATATTATGTCATTTAGGACCAAATACAAAAGCCTGTACACCTCGGGTTATTAACTTGGGCATTAAAGGTGTTAGAAAATCTAGGGCAGGATCATATGCGTAGCTGAAGAACAGAAAACAAAATATCAGATTTTCCTATAAAAAAAGGAGGTTTCATCATTATGCGAAGATTAGTGCACAAAAATCATAAAATCGAAAACTATGCGTATATAAAAAATGTATTACTTAGGGAGATCGTATAACCCTGAAATCCTATAGATCTATAGGAGAGGATGAAGGAGATCAACTATCCTCCTCTCTAGCGGTGATCCACATGGAAAGGGCTATGAACATGCTCCTTAAATCGTTGCACAATCCTCCTTTTCACGTACACCATGCAATCAAGAAGGGGCCGACCCTTCTTGTGTTCACACACTCCAAACAAAGGTGTTGGCTAAGGAGGAGAGGGAGAGAGGAGTATCAGAAGTGGCAGCTAAAAGGGTCTAGCCTATGGCCCTTTGGTTCTTTCTTATTTATAGACGCTCCCTTGTCAATTTAACCCTAATGGATCATACAATATTGGGTAATGGATCTCTATCCAACTATCTAAACTTCTTGGATTAGTGGATCTCTACCCAATAATCTCTCATTGGCTCTTATTAGATCTTATCCACACAATCCAATAATTCAGGGATTTATTGGATATCCAATAAGATATGGGCTCTAGTAGATATTTCATATCCGAATCTTTGCTCGTTGCAACATCTACTATATATATATGTGACCCTTTAGGCCCATATCAAGTTGGCTATAAGTCATATTTGTCAGAACTCCTTCTAGCTAAGTGAATTATTATCTCCATAATGATTCACTCAACTCATCGATTACGGACGTATTAGGCCACTACGTCGTAGTCCCCAAACGATACAAGGGAATCTAATCCATGAGACATATTTATTCTCAGTTACCATATATCTATAGTCCATCATCTATCTAATATCCCAAATACCATATACCGAGAATGGTGCTATTAGGCCCATACGAAATCTACTCGAATCTCGCTCTAATCGGATTCTCTTGGAAAACTTTTTCTCTCTCAATCTGAATGACCCTGACCAGGGATTTGCTTGAACAAGAATATATAGGATATTCCTCTTATGACACTGAGAGTAGATGATCCTCTATCGACACTCAATAGCCCTCATAAATTTGACTACCATTCTTGATGACAGGTTATACTAGATTTAGAACTTCTAAGCTTGTAAGTCCAATATTAAATAGTAGAGTATTCATATAGGACATCTTTGATGTCTTAGGTCTAAGGACCAGATACACTACTAGGATAATAGAATCACTGTTTGACAATGAGGTATCATCAACCATCAAGCATTCTGTGAGTGGATCGATCAGTAAACTTATTCTCCAATGAGTAGTTATGAGACTAACCGCCTCTATTATATAGACGAGTATATAACACACCACTCTATCCGGTTATCTCGATATCCCATCGAGTAACCTATGATCGAGATTATTTGGGGTATATGTTTAAAGGTGAATTGGTCTTATTATCATGATTTCATCACAATCCATCACTCATGTGATAAGCAAAAAGAGTGCGTATCATATCACACATTCCATCACTCATGTAATTATCTTACAGGATATTTATGACTAGCAATCTTCTACTTGATCTAAAGCTAATCACCTATGTATCTGATCTCTATCAGACCCCTGTGACGCTCAAAGATAATAATGAGATAACGACTTTGTTAGTGGATCTGTGATGTTATTTTCGGATGAAACTCTTTCCATTACTACATCTCCACAGACCATGATTTCTATGATTAGGTGGAACCTCTTTAGAACGTACTTAGACTTCTGATGAGATTTGGGTTCTTTTGCTTGAGCAATCGCCCTATTGTTGTCACAATATAAGGGAATCAACTTCTCGCTACCCGACGTAACTCTTATATATGTAATGAACTTATTCATCCAAACTCCCTCCTTTGTTGCTTCTGCTGTAGTAATGTATTTCGCCTCTGTGATCGAGTTAGTGGTAGTATCTTAGAAATCTTCCAGCATACTGCTCCTCCATTCAGGGTAAACACATACCCTGAGTTAGACTTGCTATCATCAACATCATACTGGAAACTCGAGTCCGTGTAGTTTTCAGTCTGTGTAGCCCTTAACCCTAGGGCTATTCCTCCATATACTAGTAAAAGATCCTTAGTCTTTCTCAAGCACTTAAGGATACACTTTATTGCCTTTCATTATTCCAAACCTGGATCCGCCTAATATCTACTCGTAACACTTAGAGCATATGCTATATCAAGCCTGGTACATAGTATAGCATATATAATAGATCATTGCTGAGGCATATGATATCTTATCCATGTCTGCCCTTTCTTTAAGAGTCTTTAGGGATATACTCCTAGAAAGTGATATCCCATGTCTCATTGGTATATTAGGATCATAAAGGCACTAAGAGATGGAGGGTGCTTTCAAAAAGTTGAATCGATTTCAAAAATTTATTTGATTAAACCCATTTCAAAAATATGTTTAACTTGGAATGCAAGTAAAAATAGTAAGCAAATAAATCAGAAAGCAATAAGAATAAAAAGCATAAACGAAATGCACAACATATTTATAGTGGTTCGATCGTCGTGACCTATGTCCACTCTTGATTCCTCCTCCATCGAAGCCATCGGTTTTCATAAGTTTTTCATGCTCTTTTCTTGCTATCTCAAGCAAGAATGAGTGAGGTATTTATATGCCCCAAATGACTTTAAAAAATAGAGCCAAAAAGTCTCATCCCGAGTTTTCCAAGCTAGTAACTCAATAACTCTTTCTTCAATTCCACTAAATAGAGAGTTGGTTAGTTTTCCATGAAGGCAAGGCTCGTAAGTTGTATATGACTTATAGTCGAATAGATCTATGTATCTATTCTTTAATAATTTTTGAATTTTTCCCTCATGGATGTGACCTAGTTTATAATGCCATAGGTGTGCACTATTCACCTCATCTCGTTTCCTCTTGCACACACTTACATTCATGATATACGGAGTAGTGTCTAGTATAAATAAACCATTATGCAATATTCCTCGATCTTATCATCTAATATTATTTAACAACTATTGTTCTCAAAAATTAATTTATATCTATAACTATCAAACATGAAATGGAAATAATATTTTT